GGGGAGTCAGAGCAGGTTGATTTGGGGACCGCGGGGTTTAGATTCCCCCCTTGGCAAAGCCCATCCCCTCTCCCATCCCTCTCCGGGAGGGCTGGACGAGGCTGGGAGGGCTGCGCTGGGCTGGGGTTTGCTCTGAATGACCGAGCTTTCCCATTCAAGACCTCGCAATCTCGAAGCAGGCGAGAGGGTTGGTTTTTTTCTTTCCTTTTTTTTTTTTTTTTTTTTTCCTGTCTTGTTTTTTTTTTTTTTTTTTCTCTTCCTTTTTTTCTCTGCTGCTTCACCGGGTTAGAAGCAAATCTTGGGGGCTGCGGAGAGAATTCGTTTTTTCACCATCGTCACCGTCGCTATTATTATTTTTTTTTAATCTTCCTCCTTTTCCAGTTTTGGATCTTAACCCTTTGATCTGTTTCCTTTAAAAGACTCTGATTCCCAACTCCCATCAGGGGGAGAGGGAGGAGAAAAAAAAGACCCGAGCTAGTCCGTGCTCTCAGCTGTTAGCCAGGTTGGTGGGGGACAAAAGTCCCTTTAAAATATTGAATGTCAGTTGCAAACCTAAGAAAAGAAAAATCCGATCCGGAGCGCTAAATTTAGGAGCTTTATATGGAACTTGGACTCTGCTGCTGGATTTTGTATGGATTTTTTTCAACCTTTGGTAAGTTTCGATTCACCTTTTGGGGTAAAAAGAAATAAGCGGCTCTTAGGGGTGGTTAAGGCTTTGGGCTGTAAATCTGACAATATCACGTCAGGGGGTTTTTTTAACCGTTTTTGTCGCTTTTTTTAATGAAGCGACAGGGATGTCGTGTTTTCTTGCTGGAGATTCCTAGAGTGCTGCTCTGTGGTTTATTTTACCCCCGATTTTAAAATCGGCTGTGGTTTATTATTTATTGCGTGTGCTGCGGGGAGGGAGGGAAGGGAGCGCAGCCGTTCACCCCCAGGCTTCCCATTGCAGGGAGGACAGACCCGGGCGTCCGCCCCTAGACCGCACTGAGCGACCGAAGCGGGTGGGGGGAAACGTCGCCAGAGGCTGCCGGCAGAGATGGCCGAGAATTGGAAGAACTGCTTCGAAGAGGAGCTCATCTGCCCTATTTGCCTGCACGTCTTCGTGGAGCCGGTCCAGCTGCCCTGCAAGCACAACTTCTGCCGGGGCTGCATCGGGGAGGCGTGGGCCAAGGAGTCGGGCTTGGTGCGGTGCCCGGAGTGCAACCAGGCCTATAACCAGAAGCCCAACCTGGAGAAGAACCTGAAGCTCACCAATATCGTGGAGAAGTTCAACTCCCTCAACCTGGAGAAGCCCCCCTCCGTCTTGCACTGCGTCTTTTGCCGCCGGGGCCCGCCGCTGCCGGCCCAGAAGATCTGTTTGAGGTGCGAGGCCCCGTGTTGCCAGTCCCACGTCCAGACCCACCTGCAGCAACCCTCCACGGCCCGGGGCCATCTCCTGGTGGAGGCAGACGACGTGCGGGCCTGGAGCTGCCCCCAGCACAACGCCTACCGCCTGTACCACTGCGAGGCCGAGCAGGTGGCCGTCTGCCAGTTCTGCTGCTACTATAGCGGGGCCCACCAGGGACACTCGGTCTGCGACGTGGAGATCCGCCGCAATGAGATCAGGGTAAGTCGGATCTTCGTGGGGACGTGGGTTTGTCCAGCCCAGGGGGGCTGCCACCTCTCTTCCTGCCCACCCTCTCCCCTGCTGTGTTTGTTCCCCAAAAGGCATGCGTTTGTGTAGGGCCTACACAAAATCCACCGCGGTGCTGCTCTTCCTCCGCCCGGTCCCCCTGTGGCGGACATGTTAGGTGGCCTCCCCAGCTGAGCAGTGATGGGAGTCTGTGGGTGCCAGGGTGGCTCCTTGGGGAAGGGGGTCCATGCTGGGAGGCCTTTGGAGCTGCTCAGCCATAGGACCTGCAGCCGCTTGGGTCTGGGCTGTGTGGGGAAGGGTCGAGGTCCTGGACCAGAGGGGTTTTGAGGGGTCATCTCCTTGGTTCCTGCTGGGGTCTGCAGCTGTTCGGAGGAAGGCAGAGGAGCTGCCCACATCCGAGGTCGAGTCACCCTGAAATTGGGATCCCCGGGGGAGGACAAAGCAGCCGCAGATGCAGACCCCATCCATTGTAAGGCCTGTGAATGTCAAACTGCTGGCTCTTCCCACTGCCTCCCGCCGGGGCCAGTGGCCGCCATCCCCTTCCCCCCAGCGCTGGGAGAGCTTCGTGTCAGAGACGGACAGCTTCTTGCTGGCGGGGATTCACGCTTGGGGTTTGGCCAAATAATGGGGTTTTTATTAGGGGGCACAGGGCTGCCCCCCCTCCCTAAAGCAGCATGGGGCGTAGCACTGAATTCGAGGGAAAGCGAGTCTCTATTTTGCTCGTGGCCAAGCCATCTGGCAGGAGCTTTCACCCCTGGCTCCCCACCCAGAAGTTCGTGGTGGGCATTTAACAGCCCTGTGGGCAGCCCTTTCATGACCCCACAACCACCTTCCCCCCACCAAGGGCTACCCCTCTGCTCCATCTCCGACCCTTCGAAAGATGCCTGGTGCTTGTCCGCCAAATAAATATTTAACAATGAATTGAATGGTGATTACTGTAAAATGGGGATGATTTCCTGTGTATTTTAATGTTGCCAAAATGAGTCACCATTTAGCAATAAAAAAAAAAAGAAAAGTCATAAATAAAAATTGCAGTATAATTACTTTCCAATTGGA